GGGGGTGGTTGTTGTCTCGTCTCCAGTGACATGGACCAGCTAATTATAGTCAGCACTTACAACCTCTCTTACTAATTAACTAACAGGCTAACAATAACAACAAGTCAACACTCTAATAAAAAAGTGCGTGCTGTATGTTTTACTCTTTTTCTTTTTCCCCCCTTTTTTCTATTTACCCTCGTGCAGCATCGTTAGCGCAAAAGAATCCGCGTGGATACTTCTTTTTTTTGTTTTTCACTTTTTTTTTCCCATCAAATTTTCCAAGGGTCCTACAGGGTTACTATCCGCGATTACTTTTACCGTTCGTTTATTTAGCATTTTTTATTTTTATTTTTTCCCCTTTTCCCTCGCTACTCTCGATATCTGCATGCTCACTGATCGTCATCGATTCGCGGCAGCCAGCAGTCGTGTGTCTCCTTGATGCAGGAGACTGCGGCAATGACTAACGCGCCTGTGTGTATGTATGTGGTGTGTGTACTTAATTTTCTTTTGCTCGGGGCGGTAAGGTCGGTATCGGTTAAGATTTTTCAATCGGTTCGAATGTTTTCTGTTTCTCTTTTTTTTCAACGATTGGCACAAAAATTTATTCCACGATCGGTTCGGGTAAATTTCGGATTTGTCCGTTTTGTCCTATTCTCATTTTTCCTTCTTCCGTCTCGCTGTACGTTCGTCACGAAGAGGGAATTTCGAGAACGTGAAAAGGGAAACCCGCATAGTCTCGATCTTTATATTTGAAATTTCGTTCCTTATTTTTTTAAATATCCCGCGCCGTTTCTCGATTTTTTTAAATATTACAATCCCCTCGTACCTAAACGACGACGTATGGGGTCGATCTAACATTTTGTTACTTTCTTATCTCGTACTTTCGCTTGTGGAAGAGACGAGTACGATGTAAAAAAAAAGAAAGAAAAAGGGTTGATCACGAAACGTGTGATTATAGTTTTAACGTACGAAGAAAAACAAAAAAGAAAAAAAAACGAATTAAAATAAACACACGAAACAACCAACGTATCCCTAGCAAATAAATACGTTATAATTTAGACGCGAGGGCGCCGGGGCCTCGCGTAATTTCACAGTTTTCTTTTTTTTTTTATTCCCCGTCACCGAGAGAGATTTAAAATTTACAAGTCGATTCTCCTTATCTTTTCGTTTTTTTTTTATATCTCATTCGTGAGCAACATTTCCTTCGTTCCCGATTTGAAAAAAAAAAAAATAGAAACCGTGTCGCGGCCGTCTTGGACGACACGAGAAAAAGATACAATCCCCCTCCATAGGGAACGTCGACTAGCGACGTGAACTACAATTTTTCCTTTTTATCCCCTTTAAATTATTTTCTTCGTCGTCCCCATTGTTCACACTTAGGACTTGATCGTTTTTGCAAAACTCGCCTGACCCTTAATAATAATAATTTTTGTTTCTTTCTTCACTGACTGTACACATTATAGACCAACAATAGAAGGTCTAGGCGGCGCTTGGCGCGCTCCACGCACCCATGCATACACAAGAGATACACACACATAACATTCCCTCCCGAAAAAATAAAAGTCGCTTTTCCTCCATTCTCGACCTTCCAACCTTGTCGCACTCTGTCGCAAGTTAAGCACACTCCTAGCGCGCACTTTCTCTCTCTCTCTCTCTCTCTCTCTCTCTCTCTCGTACTTTCTCAATCACTGTTATTACTCGACTCACTCTCACCCGTACCAAATAACACCATACAGACAACACTCTTTATCTCTTTCAATCACGTACCGCTTTCTCTCTGTCTCTTAATACGATCACGAGACTCATTGCCGTCACTCAGATTCGCCTACATAAAGAATTCCAGATTCATCTCGTCACGTATAAAAAAAAAACGTGAACCGCAGGCCTACCGCAAGTCCGCATACTTAAATCTTAATACGAGCCATCACAAATCCGTAATACGTTAACGATCGCCGATTCGGTTCCATTTCACGGAGAAACAACACGTCGTTTCCTCGCATCCCAAAACCACAAGTCCTCTCGTATAATAGTCGCATTCCTTCTTCTTGTTTTTTTTTTCACGCTTGGCAGTAAACAATGTGACAATGCAGTAGTAGTAGTATTAATAGTAGTAGTAGTAATAGTAGGAGTAGTAGCAGTAGTAGTAATAGTAAGAGCAGCAGCAGTAGTAAGTAGGTAGTACTTATAGTAGTAGTAGTATTATAATAATATAATAATAGTACGGGGTGGGTGGGTGGTCACTCCAATGTAATATTAATAATAGTCCCAGTGGCACATCACTGTACATAATCACAACAAACAGCGGACGATGGTGGTGGCGCAGAAGAACACGAATCGCAGTCGTCCCTGGTGCATACGTCGTTATTAATGTGCATCGCGTTGTTGAAACGGTCCGAGAACGATAAGATACAGAAGTAAAGGTTGGCGAGTAAAGTAGATAAAAATGAATTACTATCTACTTTTAATTATTATCGGTTCTGTCATTGACGATTAACGTATGACGGAGAACGTCCTACGCTGATTTGACTGATGTTAAAACGTGTTTCTAGGATGTGTATGGTAAACGTATGCGCTAATCGGGCGTTTGCGATTGTTATTAATTAGTCGTGTCGCCATTCCATTGCCATGCCTTATTTAAATCTCTCTCCATATTTTTCATCTTCTTCGTCTTCCACACCGGATATCTCATCTTCATCTTCCCGTCGATCCTCTTCCTCTTCCTCTCGGACTACCGCTACCCCGTCTCCTAGTAGTTCGTGGCGTCCCTCTCGATTCCACCTTGTCGATGTAACGTCTGCGCCTCGACGTAGCTCTCCTTCCGGTTCTCACGTTCTCCAGGTGCGCGCTTACTCGCTCACAAACTACTGGCGGAAGTTAGCTCCACGACTGATACGAGTCCTGGTACCACTCGTGATCGTCCCCGGAAGTCGCACCTCCCGATGACGCTCCTCTGTCAGCACCAAAACTTCCGGCACTACCACTACCACCACCGCCGCCGCCGCCACCGCCGCCGCCGCCGCCACTGCCACCGTTCACACTCGCCAATCCGTACGCATTGCCCAGTGGTTGTTGGGCGAGAGGCTGGTTTCCCCAGCTGCTCTGGAAGCGACGTTTAGATTCCCCCTGGTTCTGGTGACCCCCGTCAAACTTTCGCTTACCTGCTGCGAAGAGAAAGAAAAATGACAATTAGACAATTTCAAAATTCCTTTCAACCTACGGGACCCGCTAAGATCCAAATTCGTATACTCTTACGGGCTACCATTCCTTTTTTCCTTCTCTATCGTAACTCTCTGGTCTGATATAACTCTATAGTCAGATATACATATACCGATTGACTCTTCCGTCTGCGATCGTCGGCCTTGTGTCTCTCGTTAATTGATATCTTTGAAAATTGCCCATCTTTTTTCTCCTTACCTTATCGTACACATATTTCGTTTTTTAATCTCCTTTCGCAAATCCTGGACCATCCGTAACAAGTTCTTCGTTACATTTGCTGAATGAGAGACTCTAAATCACTGCTTACTCGCTACTTGACTGATTCGTAGCTGGGACAAAAAAGCGTTTATTTTTTTACTTTTACTTTCACTTTCGATCAAGCATTATGTCAATTTTTTGAAATATCGTCTGACGTACATAGGAGATTTGTCCCAACTGCGTTTGGCCCGAGTGTTACTTAATATTATGTTTCTAGCAGCTAGACCTACCTAGGTGGGATCGTTAGTATGGATTTGGATGGATGACAGGTACCTTGGAAGGAAGCAGGGACGAAATTGTATCCTAATGAAAGACAAAAAAAAATAATCCACACCCGGTCTCGTATACAATGTCAAAAGATATAACGAACAAATTTTCCTAAAATATTACAATTCTCTTTTTCCCATTTTACTCCATTGTCCTTCCCAATCTCTCGTACAAAGATTCCTCTGTACCACTTGGACGCCGGCCCATCTGCCTTCTCCATAAAACCCCAAGCCCAATACACTCCCAGCACATTTTGTCTCTTCGGACGCACAAATATTTTTAAACTCGACCAATTTCAAAAGCGTACAGCCAATTTCAAGAGAATTGTATGCACTGAATATAAAAGTAAAAACAACCTAAAAGTACACTCGATACAAATAAAGTGTTCGCAGTGCTGGCAACTACTGTATAAAAATAATTTTTTAAAATACCAAAATTTCATTTACGTCCCTAGTGTCCAAAGTCGAAGTGATTTCAAACGGGAAATTTTTCGTAATCCAAAAAAAAAAAGAGTGACAGAGAAACGTGTTTCCGTGAAAGTAAGCAAAAACAAGCGCATCTATTGGTACAAATGAATTGGCCGCCTAAGAAGGGAGACTCCGATACCTGCGAGTCTGTTACTAATAATTCATACGAAAGTCAAGCAGAACTACCGGGTATATTATAAATTTTGTTAAACCAAAGTACATGTGAGTAAAGTGCAAGGCAAGGCATATTAGTGCTTTACGCCGAACCGGTTAGAAACATCGATACGTATTCGACACTCTTGCTCCGATCGTCGTCCAAATTCCTCTCCGAGTAATGAAGCGCAATTGCGAGCAGCCATACTCCTAGTAAACGATGGAAAGACCCGAGTGCAGCTGGTACCGGAGTACGAAATTGTTATCGTGATGAATTTACTAGGGATCCGATTACGTAACTTGAAGGATGCCCGCTTGCAAAACAGTGCCAGCCGTAAAAGCAGGTTCGTCAGTTTGACGGACAATGAAAAGAGAGACTGGCGAACGCGAATGATCGCCGGTAAGACTTGTCGTGCGGGCGAAAGACGACGTACGTGTACGTAAGAAGCGTAAACGTCAGGAATAAGACGTCAGGAACTTTTCGCGTCTCGCTGCATTTCGAGTCTCCTCCGCTTGTGCGGCGAATGTGAATTAATAATTACGAGTGCGAAAAGCGTGAGTCGGGACATCTCTTATGAGAAAAGAGGCAAGATTCAACCATTTTTTTTACATTCACTTTTTTTCTATATAAATATCAAAAAGACCGAAATTCATGGTGCCGTGACGTATCTTGGGTTATTTAGCTGTAAATAGTGCACATCTATAGACACGTTAATCGAGCAAGGCAGCGACCTCAGAAGCTTCGCACCGAAAAAAAAAAAAAAAATCCAAAAAAAATTCATAAATAATATCGATCCAAGTATAATAACACAATTAGCAAAAAAAAAACTAACGACTCGATTTCGCCAAACAAAATTTTCTTAATTTATAAAATCAGCAAAGCACTGACTACCAATGAATCGCTTTTTTTTTCAAAAAAAAAAAAAAATTATCCTACAAGTACGAGAGAGAAAAAAAATGTGCCGAGCAGCTAAGGGCGAAGCGCGGCAAAGATCAAAATTTGTCTAGCCGATAAAAAAAAAATCGCTACAAAATTCGGATAACTTTGATCGATGGGAAATCTATCCGCGATAAAACGGACTGGGGACAGGAGCAGAGGACTAAATGCGGCCACAGGTTAATGGTTAATTAGGAGACGGGCGGGGGGAGGACGAGGGAGTAACGAGATTAATAAGACTATAATAAGAAAAAAAAAAGTTGATTGTTTTGTGGAGATACAGACCATCCTCACCTGGTAAACTTCCCTTGGCGCGGACCCCCCCACGGGCGGCCGGTCGCTGGGCCCCATGAGCCCCTGAGGTTGCGGGGTTGCGTCCCCGACTGACCGGCCCACGGGCCTGGGGGCCACCGACCCGGCCACGCGGCGGCACTACTCCACGTCCACGACGACCAGCCTGACCAAACAACACACACCCAAACGTTACCCCGGAGTTGCTCCTTACTGGCTTACGCAATACCTTCCTTCCTTCCTTCCATCTTTTTTTTTTTTCTTTTTTTTTTTCACCTCAACACGTCACTCAGTGATCGCTCGATCAACATCGTAACATGTATGTGTATATATATATATATATATATGTATATATAAGTACAGAGAGAAGAATATTACGAAAATATCTTATATATACATATATAGCGGAAGAGGGTGCGAGAACACACACATATATAGTATACAGCATACACATTTACTCGGGACCATTGGTACCACCTGAAGGTGGTTCTGGTCCATTCGATTTCGATTAATTTCTACGGGTAGAATCAACTTCAGGCGATGCAATGGTCCTGAGTAACCGTGCATACATTTATATACATACATATATATATGGATATGGTACGGTGGATTATTACGACGACGTACGAGCTGAAGTTCGACGCGAATGGACGATTTAATCGAGAGAGTGCGGCCTCGTTAATCGAACGATAAAACGCTACGTTCAGGACGTTAATAATGTTGGAGATAACTTGAATTCCTGAAATGACCCCACGCTGCTACGTTTCACGTAACATCGTCCGTTTGCGGCCAACTTCAGCTCGGTGCGATTTTCGTTAATAACCCTAAATATACACACACATATATATATATATATATAAATCGATAATAAATAAGAGATCTCCTCCTCCCTCCCTAACGCCACTAATCACGTAGCCGCGCATCGTAAAAGCCCGTGACAGCTTCCTTAAATGGCGGCGTCGCTGTTTACACCTAAATCGCAATGCTAACCCCGTGAAGTTAGCTAACTGCTACTATGGGCATGTATATATATATATAGATAGATAGACAGAAAGACAGGGTTTTTCTAAGGGTGGGGGTGGGGGGGGGA